CTTTGCACATGTGCCATGGCCGTTCACTTGGAATGGACGATTCGTTATCAACCGATTCCTACGAAGACTAATCGCACACCCTGAACAAACCAAACCAAACCAAACCTGGGCCTGTTCGAACCAAACCAAAATTACGAGCAAACCTGGTTTGAATCCGTTTCAAGGTTCGAATCGGTTTCATTTTGTAATTCCAAACCAAGTTGTCGTTTTATTAGAACCTCCAGGTTGGTTTGAACCTAGGACCTCTTCTCACGCAATCCACAGGGCGCTGCGGCTTTTGCTGATCGGATGGACCGAAGGCTCATTTGCCATTAGTTGTGTTGTTCAATTGTATTTGCGCTGTGTCGAACCTTTTGAGATGTTTCATCCATCAACTGCAATGGTTGTCCATGGAGACGGCGGAGACGAGGAATTAATTGAAGATCCGGTCGTGCTTGGTACAAGTAGAATACAGAGACGCCAGCAAGGTTTTGTTCAAGAAGAGGTCATTGTCAACAATATAGGAGTTGTTGACAAGCTAGACAGAGTTTTGCAAGACTCCCAGGCTCGAAATGACGAAAAATTACTGGAGTTAGCTCAGTATGCACACGATCATGTCATCAACACTGTCGCGGAAACGGAGGAGCGCTTGGGTTATCACATTCGTGATTATCTCGATGGAATTCACGCACATTACGACGCATCAATGAAGCAGCAAGGCGAACTTCAAGCCGTAGAACCGGATCGGCGCTTAAGTAGCCTGGAACATAATATTCAAGAGCGTGCTCAAACTTCAGCTGTTGCTGCTGTTGGTTCTCTTGCTAATAAACTGGAATTTCATTTTAATAGTGCTTTGGCAGCGATGGAGACGACCCTCAACGGACATGGCACAACGCATGAATCGGTATGTGAAATGAGGCTGCAGTCAGCGTCGAAACAAGCTCAAGATGACTTTGAAGCCTCTACTGATTTGCAGTCGGACTGGATTGAAAAATGACTGAATGCCAAACTCGATGCAGCCAAAACGTCAACTGAAACTGAGCAACAAGCCAATCTACGAGCTTGCCAAATTCGATTTGAGCAGCAAGATGAACAAACTATTGCAAGAATAACTGAATTGGCTCAGTCACACGCTGACAAGATCGAGTAGCGGCTCCAAGACAAATTAGACGAGGCTATGAAAGAAATTCAGTTGCAGATCCGAAACAATATCGATGTACGCTTGGCGAACGCTGTGACGCGCGTTGAGCGCACTCACCAGACCATTAAAGACCAATTCAATGCTGCAATTACGTTCAACAGCTCAGCATTAGAAGAAAAGTTTCAAGCCCGGCTAGAGGGATCACAAGAGGCTACAACCTTGAAACTGCACATGCTAAAACACGAACTTAGTGACCTGACGATAGCTGCTCTGGAGAATAATAACCAAATGGAGGATCGTGTTTTGCAAGCCCAACGCAATGCTGCAATTACGTCTAACGCTTCAGCATTAGAAGAGAAACTTTACAACCATCTCCAAATATCACAAGACGATACAACCGTGAAGTTGAACAAACTAGAGCAAGAACTCCGAGACCTGAAGGAAGCTGCTCAAGATAGTAATATTCAAATTGCAAAACTCGTTGAGCAACTTACATATGCAAAGAAGAATATTCAAGACCCACGTACGTCAACGCTGGAAAAATCGTTGTACAGCTCAAGACAGTGTTGCCCCACCTGCACA